CCTCGTCGTCGCTTTCCATCACGTGAGATGGACGGCGCATTTGTTCACTTATAAAAATAAGATCAGATCGTAGTCTACCACACTAACCCCGACACGGATAGAGACTAGAATCGAAGATCGAAGACTCTACATTACATTAGACTCTATATTATCTTTGAAGTGGTTTACTCTACTTTTAGAGCTCTTTAGGATGTTTTCCTTATTACTAAAGCTAACAAGCAGGGTATGCTATAGAGTATCATTGTTTTTAGGTATAGAATCCAAAGTTCTTATCGCTGTAGGATAACATGTGCTTCTGGTATCTGAACATACTAAAACATTTTTTTAACACAAGTTTTTGGTTCATTCAAATCAAATAACTTTATGTCGCAGGTAAGCGAATTACGCTTGAAATCGACACATCGATTGAAACTTATTTGTAGATCATATTCTCCTGAGAAGAATGATTTATTTTTGTTTTTTTTTTAAATTTTATTTCATATTTTCACAAACATTTCATACCTGAAAGTACACCATGCGTTCGTATATCATCTACAATCATTGATGTTATAAGTTTTTCTTAATAGCACATTTATGATACGAGACTTGAATTTATTTCTGATAAATTTTGCACTTTTCTGAAATTTGATCATAAAATATAATACATATTATGTCATTTACCCAAGTATGGTTTCCACATTCAAAATTAATATAAATCAGTCCTATTTGTTCAAAAGTGCTATTTCCTGCGATCGCCAACCCGCATACCCGCATGCGCAGTGTGGAAATTATAGGCATAAACCCCACAAATGAACGGCACAACACAGGAAAGGCCCCAAGTTTCGGGCCGCCTCGCTATTCCTGGTCACGGTAGCGGTCATGGTAATGGCGGGGCAGGGGGTGCTAAGGATCACCAGACTACCTCAGGCTACCTAAAACAACTGACCCTGGCATCGTTTAATGGACGAACTCTGAGATTTGATGAGCACCTAGCACAGTTGATAGCGGAGCTAGAGAACATAAGGTGGCTTATTCTGGGGCTGTGCGAAGTCCGAAGAGAGGGAGAGGATACCATAACCCTGGACTCGGGCCGTCTCCTGTACTTCCGCGAAGGTGATCAACTATCCCAGGGAGGCGTAGGATTCCTCGTCAACAGGGCCCTCTCTAGTAACATTGAGGAAATCTCTAGTGTGTCGACCAGGGTAGCGTACCTTATACTTCGGCTGTCAAAAAGGTATAGTTTAAAGATTGTACAGGTCTACGCGCCGACCTCGACACATTTAGATGACGAAGTGGAAGGTATGTACGAGGACATATCAAGAGCCTTACACAACACCACTAAGGCCCATTTCAACGTTGTGATGGGGGACTTTAACGCTAAAGTGGGACTCCAGAGTCTCAACGAATCTCGAATATCTCTTCTTGATGAACTCGTTCTTTAAGAAGCAGCCTCAAAGGAAGTGGACATGGCAAAGCCCCGACGCTGTGACCAAAAATGAGATTGACTTCATCGTGGCGGATAAACGGCACATATTCAGAGACGTGGTCAGCAGGTTTAATACCGGATCTGATCTCCGACTTGTACGAGGCTCTCTGAATATCGATCTCAAACTGGAAAGACGTCGCTTGACGAATCCACGCTCCGGCCTAATCCTCTCCAGATCATGGCGGGCGCCGTTAAGTTTCAGAAACTTCTCGAGCAAAGATTCGTTGAATTGGAACCCACTTATGACGTCGACGAGGCCCTGCAAAACGTGGTTGAAACGTTGAGGATAGAGGGCATCAAATTTTGCCGATTGCAGCGTACAGGTACGAAGTCCAAACTCTCGGTTGAGACTCTTCGGCTAATGACTAAACGACGAGAAGACACTCGGGCCACTTCGTCAGAGCGGTCAGACCTCACGACAAGAAGATTGCGAAGATGATACGGCGCGACCTTCGGAGCCGCAGTACACGCCTCATTGAGCAACACACGATGGTCGAACCATAACGTCGAAGCCGGAGATGCTAGCCGAGCTAAGGACCGTGCGAAATGGCGCACATTGGGGAAGGCCTATGTCCAGCAGTGGACCGCGATAGGCTGATGATGATGATGATGCTAATTCCTGATCTGGATTTCTCTGTGTCCTAGGTTGTTGTTTGTGTAGGTCCTAGGTAATCAGCTACGAGCGGTATACCATCCAGAAAATGAAAAAAAGACATAGAAACGTCCTATTACGTATTTCGTCGTAGTTTTGAATAATTTTCGAATTGATCACTCTTAAAATATTCTGATATGGGTTTTCTGGAAATAACAATTAAAATTATTATCGACCTTTTAATATAACAACTCATAAACTAGAGAGGAATCTATACATTTAAATACTAATTTGCTTAAGTATGTACGAGTAGGTGCACCTTTTGGAAGATTTTTAATATTTCTCCCTAAGTAAAGGGAGAAAATAGATAAATTGGTCAAAATACAGATACATATTTTACAGATTTTATTCCTTAGCATCTACGTTAATTGAGATTAATAATAATTTGTCTAATAGATTATTTCCGCTTTTTCTTCCTTCTTTTTCCTTGCTTCAACAAGGAAGAATTTATTAACGTACGTGCTTACTTATTCCTATGTTTGCAGATTCGGACAAGTCTTAGTCCTATGTGCAACAATAAAACTTTACTATGTTCACTTTCGTTTTTTTTTAAATCGTATGAGTTAATATTTACGTTATAGGATGGTCGTTCAAACCTGCAAAACGTCTGTATGTGTTAACTGCCTGCGTGGCGAAACGGTTACCATGCTGATCTTGTGAGTTTGGGTGTAGGTAATTTGTAGTGTTCTATATGTGGCACCCGCGAGCTCGTGAGTCAAGGCTTGGCTAGCGATGAGTGTGTGCGTTAAAAAAATCTACCTGAGTAATATTCACTGACTACCTCATAGTAATTTGATACGGAATTACTGTTTCTAGGTTAACACAAAACGTGGTGCAAACCATATTAGGTCCAATCTGTTTTTTCTATCGTAAGAATTTGAAACTTACAAGTTCTTATCATTTTTTTTTTTAAGTTCGGCGCCCACCACCACCACCACATAATGAATCAATAACTCAAGTGGATAGTGCCGACCGTAGTCTGTGGTGCCGACTAGTCTTTTATTTTGTTTAGGATTAACGCCATCTACCTATATTAGGGAGCGTTAATTTATAAATTTGTTTGTAACACACAATGTCATCTAATTCTATAGACGCGCATATTTGTCGAAGTTCTAAAAAATATTTTAGTTCATCAATATTTGAATAATAACAAATAACAATCATACAGTTTGATATAAGAAGCCATTTTTTTCTAGGTTGACACAGTTCAGGTACCTGGGTCACATAGTAAATTCGGAGCTAAAACGTGATCGTGACATGCAAAGATATCGTAGGGCGTTGGCGGTCCGAGGGAATATGCTGGCTCGCAGGTTTGCACATTGTACAGATGAAGTAAGTTACCTTGTTTAAATCATACTGTCAATCATTTTACTGTAGCGGCCTATAGGCTAGGTATACCCAAAAGACGTTCAGCGAGCTACGCGTCCTTTATAACGACATGTTTAGGATGCTGTTGGGGTTGCCCAGGTACTGCAGTGCATCTGGTATGTTTGTGGATGTTCGCACCGACTGTTTTTATGCAATAATACGCAAATAAATAATTTCAGTGAGACGCAGAATGCTGGAGCGCCCCAACAGCATACTTAGGATATTATCCGATAAAACGGACAGTGCCTTAAAGAGGCATTGGATGTCAGCTGTTATAAATCCAAAACATATATATTTTAGTAATTAATTTTGATTTTTGATTGTTTGTATAATTTTATTATTATTACATATGTAAAATTATTACCAACATAGTTGTAGGGTTTTCTTGTAATGTACTAACACCATGGACCCATGTAGTCTTTAATAAACAATTTTGAATTTTATATTTTATAATAAAGAGGAATTAATTGATATCTACCGACATTTACATAAAGTACCTAAACTACTTCCATGGGGTTCCCCACTTCAGATCGAATGCCGTTTGACCTAACATTAATCACTCCAAAAAGTTTACTCGATTGTCCATTAGACCTATAAATCGTAAGCTCTAAGGTTTGCCATATCGATGCATCAAAATCTCAAACATGCTCTTTTGAGCTTTTGCTGTAACGGTCAACAACCAAAATTTTTCTTTACATTACAAGGTGAAAATCTGTAAGCAATCATCGTCAAATCACATCATATCGATCGACTGAAGTCGAGTAAACCTGTAAGAGCCTTGTGTTGATCGCACGTCTCGATCGACAATGTCAAACTTCTGTTACTACCACATTTGCTCGATTTGTTTGATCGCAAGTGTCGATCGACAAACATACGATGTCAATCGTCAGTTGCTACCACAAATTTTGCTCGTTTTGTTTGATCGCAGGTTTCGATTGTTAAAAAATCGTGCAAATCTGTAGGCACCTTAAGGATACCGTTGCTTAAATGTGCCATCTTCTTATCGTATCGATGGCATACACAACATTATCGCGGCCTAGAACTTAACCGTGCTGATCACGCCACAAGTAGCCACCATGATGAACTGTGCATGGGATAAGTTTGCTATTGTGGTGAAAGGATTTGCCAATCGGCGTAAGTTACTCGGTACTAGGGCGCGCCAGACTTACAAGGAAAACAAGTCGTACGTCATTGCGGGAAGGCTTCGTGCACCCTATGTATGACGTGCCATGCCGTCCCGCCAATAGGCGCTGGGCCTAAAACTGTATCGACTTTGAGTAGTTGTTGTTACCATCTTAATTGCACTATCTGTAACAGCGTAGAGATCTTCCCGCGTGCAGATGTTTGAGCACGTTGAATTCGTGTAGGGGTGCATTGTAATAATCTCCTGACGCACACCGGTAACAGCTTGCCACGGTAGTAAGTAACGCAGTGTCTTGATGGTTACTGTTCCCATCACAATGCCTTAACCAAACACAAATTGAAAATGAATCAGAAAATTAAACATTAAAATTAAATTATTCGTTCAATTTATTTAAACAACAAGTCAAAGAAAGAACCGAAGACATTGTTATCGTTCAGTTTTCTAGGTCTGGGTCTTCTAGTTGGGTATGCTGCAGGCGCTTCAGTGGGTCTATTGGAAAACTGGACACGATTTGGTATTCTTTGAGTAGATTCTCTCACAGGTGGTCTTGGAGGTCTTCCTGGTTTGATTCCACTTACGTGGTCATTAGAAAATATTTGATGACCAGGTTCCGTCACTGGACGTCTTTGAGGTATCACTGGACTGACACCAACTACGTGACCTAATGGACCTCCTACTACATTAGGACGATAGGTGGTTTGTTGCTCTTGCGCGCCTTCGTAAACTGGCTTGATGTTATCTGAAAATAAATGTTACCTTTATTAATAAAAATCTAGCTCTGGATGATTGTAATAAGTAGAGCAATGACTACAGTACAACAAAAACGAACTTAATATAATATAGTAATGAATATTATGATGTTTTACAACCATGATGTTAATTTACTTTTTGTGATATTACTCTACATAATTATAATTATTAATACAAAGAACGAACGCAAAGAAGAATTCCTTCGATTTGACAAGACTCGAACCTGCGCCTGTACCACGCTCTACCAACTGACCTACAATTAAATTGAAGGTATTTTTTTGTGTGTTCGATCTTCTATTAATAATTAAAATAAATAGTAGAATTTCACGAAAGAAAACGAATATCGTTGTATTAAAACATCGTAATATTAATTACAATCAATATTACAAAATATAAAGCGCTATCTTTTGTCATTTCTAGTAGCTGTAAAGGTTGAATGAAGAAAAACTTTGATAGCGCTACGGCAAAAATCCGTTAAAACCCAAAACAAATATCTGTAACAAACATGTAGAAAAATTCGTAAGACCAATATTACACGGGCGTTGCGTCGGCGTTACGTCGTCGCAACGCTATGATTTCAACACATCGAGTGCCTCGCGAGCGCTGCGGTACCGCACCGTAACCCGCTTCCTTTCACACCGCAACACCCCTCCCCGCTTCGTCACTCTATCCTTGTCCGATGCGTCTCCTTGTCGTTCAGAATATTACAACGCAGCGTCATCGCTCTGGCGGCGTCGCGTCGCAACGCCGATGCAACGCATCGTGTGGCATCACTCTAAGATCTGTAGACTCGATCTGTAGCTCAGCATCGCGTCGCCCTGGGAGACACAGGATCGAGTCCTGTCCTTTGTATTAATAAATAAACGAACTTAATTTGTTTACTTTTATGGATATAGGTCAGCGCACTTTTCTTTTTCTTACAGTAGTTGTATCTAAAACTCCTCACATTGAAATGTCACCTTGCACACGCACATTGTACACACGAAGTACATAATATATGTATATTATGTACTTCGCTTGTTAGCATCAACATACTTATTAAATATATAGTTACACAGAAAAATTAAAATTTTAAAAAGGAAACTGTAGGCGCTTTGCCTGTAAACCAATTTCATATAATATAAGTGCTTTGCTTGTTAGCATTTAACAAGCAAATTACGCTAATGGGTTCTCAGTGGTTATCTGTTTGTGTTTTATCCCACCTCATATCCATATTTGGTAAGCGATGAACTAATTTGTACAACACCGGTGTTGATCCAGGCATTTAAGGAGTTTAATTCTATACAATTAGAACTTACCAAATATTTTTTTTGCATATATTTCTTTGTGTTACGTTCGAGTAAAAAGATTATAATTTGCAAGAAGAACTCTGTATATGTAGGCAATAACTATTTATAAACAATACTTGTCATAACTAATGCATTTTCATTTTAGTAACTTTCGAGCTAATGGCACATGGCAAAAATGTCATTTACGCCGATTTTGCCCTTATTTTGCCTAGCAATAAAATTGAAACTAGATGTAAAAAATAAACCGCTTTCAAGGGGTTGTAGATCTATGGTACATATAACTCAATTTCGCTAAAAATGTCGATTACATTTGATATAAGGAGAGAATATACATTTTTTCGTCCTTCGGGACAGGCTAAGATATCTGAGCCTTATTTAGTAATTCAATTTTCTAACTTTTTTCGTGATAAATAATTAAGTTTTTACAGTGGCCAATTTGAAATTTAAAAGAAATTGACAATCAAACAAACATTCCATTTTCAGCATTATTATTATTATAAAATCTATGGTCGATACAGCCAATTGGCGTATAAAATTACCTGAAGGATATTGATGTACAGGCGGTCGATAAGCATTATTTCCAAAAAACCCGCCGGACCAATATGGGGGCTTGGTCGGTGGTATTGGGTAGCCAGGCCTTTGTGGACGCACAGGCCGATTGGTCGTAGGACGATCTGGGTACCCCTGACCTCCGCTATTGAAAAAGCCGAAGAACAATCTACTGTTTCCATATCCATACCTTCTTTGGGATTGTGTAGTTACTGCGAACAAAAAACTAATCTAGATGAATTGTTCCTACCTCATCATCATATTCAACCCACATCAATCCACTGCTGAGTATAGGCCTCTTCTTTATTGCACCAATATTCATGGTGCTGTGGCAACCGAATCTCTACCGTAGATTTTTCGCACTCTCCACTCCGCCTGGAGACGTAACATAATTGCGGGGCTGGCGGGGACTAAAAGCCACGGTTTTATTGTGCTACTCATAAAGAAGGTTTAATGGCCAACCAGCCTGAAATATTTGCACCGCATGCCGTAGACAGGGTCCCTGGTCTTTATTTCCCACCAGGTAAGCTACTAGGACCTTCTAGTGAAATGCCACGTCTAGACCACTACGCTACGCACGTGTAGTTGCACCCAGTGTTGTTGGTAGGGGCAGTCCAGCCTGTTGGCAATAATGGCTAGGATGCCATTAGCGCTGCCGCGCACACGCATCGTGTGTGAGGCAGCCTTCTTGCGCATAATGGCATGAAAGCCATATGTGTGCGCCTCCGTGAACATACCGGATGCACTACAGTGTCGCGGCAGCCCCATTAGCATTCTAAAAGCGTTGTTATATTGCACCCTTAATGTATTCAGTGTTCTCTGCGTATACTTCAGCCACAGGCTGCTTGTGTAAAAGTTTTGGCAATATGCTTCAAATAATGAGATCTTTACATCTTTGGTGCAACGAGCAAACCCGCGGGCGAGCATATTGCATTTAACAGACAGGGCCCTTCTCTCCCTCTCCACTGTCGGCACTATCGTGCAAGTTATCGGTTACCCAGTGACCCAGGTACTTAAATTGACAGACACGATTTATCTCACTACCATAGAGAAACACCGCCGGCACAGTTCCAACAGTATCTGCCTTCGGCTTAGAAACTAGGAGCTCGGTCTTTTTCGTATTATACCTGAGTCCATGGGCTTCCGCATATGTCTCACAACATACAATATAGTCTAAATATTGGAGCTGATCGAGTTCCACAGAAGGTAACGAAGTAGGTAATGTATTTATTATTATATGTATTACAAAACGGTTTTCTTTGTAGGGCTTGCAAGAGTTTGAACGATGTGTTGAGCAGGAGTGAACTTAATATTGACATATTCAATTCTAATTCGAACTCATTAAAGCGTAAACTTGTGAACGCGTTTGTTTAATGGGCGATCATTTCGTGGCGCAGGTATTGGGATATATGTGATTTACATTGCGTACATTCATGCATATGTACATATACATGAATGTATATATACATATACATTCATTGTATATGTATATATCATTCAAGTGTATTTGTTACGTAATAATTTTATTTGCTGTGACCACTTTCTACGTGCTCAATGTTTACTCATTATGTTATTATAACCGAAAACCTTCAATTGGCTGTAATGTATTGTTGATGTTTTTAATTTGTTGTTAAGCTGTTGGTTTTCCACGAATAAATAAATAAATTATTGGACATTATAGTTAATTCATTACGTACAATACCATTAACATCCGTAAAATTAGAATAACTCACAGGTTTGCCGAAACAGACAAAATTAATACCTATATAGTGACAGTACTTAACATTAACTATGTCCATCAACAATACATTAATAGCAACCATATGTAGGTATCTGGTGCAATTAACTTACAAAAGTTCAGTGAATGTATTATCTGAATGTTAATCTGAATTGATATTAAGATTGAGTGTTCATGCCTTAGTTTTATATCTTAAGATCTGCAGGACGTTTACGAATTATATTTGAAAGTGTTTTAGATAATCTCAGTACAGAGTACTAAAAAAACCGACCTCAAAAGTACGTGGTATTACATCTATTTGCCAAGTTTTATTGAAATCTGTTACCGGAAAGTGCCTAAAACCCGCATTTATGCCCTAGTTCGCCACTATCGGAACTTGACACAGGAGATAATAAAAATTGGTTCTCTCTACTCCAAAGTGTACTGAAAAAGAAAAACGCCTTGAATCGGAGAATAGCAAAATCAACCATTAAAATAATTGCTCCTTATAATATATTTAGGCGCTATTTATAAAAATGAATCTTCGTGCGTGAACAGCCACCCTTAGAGGTGGATGATTTCCTTCAAAATGGAATGGAACACACTATGGAGGTACCCTCTTTCCAACAAAAAAATAATCATCAAAATCGGATCCCAAATACCGGAATTATCGCGTAACATACATACAAAAAAGACAATCGAATTGAGAACCTCCTCCTATTTTTTGAAGTCGGTTAAAAAATTCAAACTATTCTCTGCCGTCACATGTGTAGGTACCTACTTTTAAAACGACTTTATCATAAGATAAACAACGTTTTGATGATTTTTTTATTCTTATTAGCTCTTTCATGCATAATAAACTTTTTTTCATTAACCAGGAATAAAAAGTTACCAAATTTAAAATTTTATAATTTAAAGATGAGGTCGTTAAAAAGTTGATTGACCCACTTACGCCGATTTATTGATAATAAATTATTAATATTGCGTTAGTACAATAGTTATTTGTTATGCAAGGTGCAAAGTTGTTGTTTGACGCAAGTGCTTGTATTGAAATCTGAGGAAGCAAAGGCTTCTAAGATTAAAAAATAGAATCCTGAGCGAAGCGTGGGTTTCAAGCCAAGAGACGCAAAACAACTTTGCTGCCGAACGAAATACACAAATTTTCACCTCACTATAGCGAGGAAAATGGTAGATGAAAGAAAAACAGTTGAACTATAACAAATCAGTTTTAACAAACAAAAAATAATGTACGACAGATCGCGTAGTTGAACGTGTCATTATATATTTTTTTTCATCGAAACAAAAAGTTAGGTGCCACAGTCACAGTCCATCGTCAAGTTCGAATTTCAAATACCATTTCCACCCTGACGTGGAAAAAATGCTTTTACGCGCAGATTTCTAATGAGAAAAAAAGCCTATCCGAGCTAGTGAGGTTAGGTTATTTTTTAGTAGCAGTAGAGCTCCTTGTGAAAGAATTCGTCCAGGGAAGTACTGCCACCTTACCCATTTGTGCCGCCAAGCAGTAATGTCAGCATTACTGTGTTCCAGTTTTGAAGGGCAAGGGTGCTAGTGAAATACAGGCACATGGGACTTGTCAACTTATATCTCAGGGTGACGGGCGCAGTGGAACTTCCCCTCAGATCTTTGCGATTTTAAGCTCTGAGTGGCATTGCAACTGTTATGGACAGGCGTGTAGCTTAATCTTGTACAGTACCTACGTTATTAGATAAGACAAAAAGTGTTGCTTACCTACGTGTTTCGTACTGTCTCAGGAAATTCGTTAAGACTCAAAGGGTCTAAACGTGTTAACAGTCAACATCAAACGTGAATATTAATAAGTTAAAAAAAAACTACATGTATAACATTGACTTACAAATAAATATAAAAATGCATTCGTAAAATGGAATAAATAACTTACTCCATCCGAACCTCTAAGAACCTATCATTTTTTTTCAATGTTGTGTCACGTAGGTGAAATCTGTTCAAAAGTCTTACTTGAAATTATTATTGGATTGACCAAAAAGTGTGCTCTGTATCAAAATATAAATTTAAAAAAGTAAATATCAAACTCTTAGAGGATGGAAAAAAATTCCATAGTCTAAGATCAAACTTTAATTACCTAACTATTATAAGTTATAAGTATTGTTGACTTTTTGACATTTTTCGGGTCATTTTAGAATTCCTTTTACGTAAACATTCCTGTCTTTATTTACAGATTTATATGACGAATCATAAAGCAAGAAACTACGAAGTAAACTCAAAGTTCAATTTGATTTCTTACATAAATTTAGGCAAAGTTTGTTTTGTAAATTCGATAAACTTAGCTCACCATTTTTATTTAGTCGAAATCAAAGTTCGTTTTAAAAAATAATTTTAGTTGTGTACGTATCCATTCAAACAATTTTGTAAAGACCGAAACATGTGAAAAAGGGCTATATCGACGCATAAGGGTGATGAGGTAACAGGGTAACTTTCAGGTTATTTTTCTCTTCCTAGTTTCGGTGGCAATTTTTAGTATTTAAATATTCTAGAATATTATCATGATGTATTATTTAATATTCGAATGTAGTATTCTGAAATCTTATATAATATCTGAAGTATTATAGTATTCTGAAATATTTAAATAATAAAAATTGTCACCAAAATTAGGTGGACAAACTAACCTGAAAATCAACCTCATCACGTCCCAACCTATCTGCAATACTTTTTGACAGCTTTGTAAAGCCGTAAATATAGTGTGGTATGGCATTATCACGATGAAAAACCTTTAGGTACGATTCACCAGTTCTGGCCGTTTTTCATGAATTATAAAATTTAAATTTAATTATATAAATATTAGAATTAAAAAACTTTCCCGCCTCTTCTTAAAATACAAGCTAGAATACTATTTCTAAATGACCATAGTTAAATAATAACATTTACGAAAACCATTTTCATTTAAAATTAGCTAGTGGCAAAAACTGTTTTTTTGGCTAAACTATTTATATAAAAATATCACAAAATATACTCATAGAAGTATACGTATGTTGAATGATTTACTTACGAGAGCTAAGATCGTTTTCGTCATAATCAGCTATATCTCCGCAGTCGTCCGGGTCATCTTTTTGCGGTTCTTCCTGGAGGCTATTCAACGGCACATTAGGCTGACTTAGTCCACCAGGCACCAGCAAGTTATAGTACGCTCCAAAAGTTCGTGGCTGAGATTTGTCACCCCAACTCGCTATCCTCCTATGCGGAGCGATCTTATTAGTAGGACACAAAGCCGGATTTACTGTCACTGCATATAACGGTCCAGCAAAAATAAACACCTTAAAAATTCAAACTCATTAAAAACGCAAATATTAATAACTTTTTAGACGCACGCATTTGCCTAAATCGACGTACCAGAATTAATTGGATTGAAATAATGTACTTTAACTCCATTGTTACCTCTATATAATTTAAAAAACGAACTTAACGCGTTGAGGTCTGAATTTTATCTGAATGCATATTAAGGTAACAATGTTACCACTATTCGAAGCCCCCACGCGATACAAACGAATGTAAAGTCCTTGGTCAATGACCGGCCTATAAGAGTATAGCATAATATCTTTGTTAAAAGGGCAGAGACATCTCTTTTTAATTAGGGTAAAAAAAATACATTATGCAATGACTGCAGGTATCATAGTAATGGAAGTAAATTTTCACATGCAGCTATTTTTATTAAATTTAAAAAAATAAGAACCAGGGCAGCCATTTTGTGAGAATTAAAACCTTCATTCCTCTCTCTCTCTCGTCTGAGCGTTGTCCCGGTTGCGTCCTCAGCAGTGTTGCTGCGGAGCCCGGGGTCCGCTTTCCTACTTTTTCTCCTCCACTTTGCACGGTCTACGGCATCCTCAGTGGTGAGACCATTGGCACGCATATCACCCTTGGCGACGTCAAGCCAGCACTTCTTGGGTCTGCCCCTTCTACCGGGGCCCGGTGGAGGTGGCATAGCAAGACATTTGTTTCCCACGTAGCATGCCGGTTTCCATAAGATGTGGCCGTACCAACGTAGGCGGCTTTCTTGCAGTTTATCTGCAATGTCACGGACGTGAAGGCTGCCGCGGATGCAGGAGTTTCTGACACGGTCTTTCCGTGAAACTCCACAAATCCAGCGCAGCATCTTCATTTCCGTGACACGCAGCTCCTGCCGATGACGCTCAAGTACGGGCCACGTTTTACTGCCATATAAAAGGAGAAGGCCTAATGATGGATTTATAGACCTGTCCTTTCAGCTTAATCTTGGGGTCACAAATGACACCAGTCACCTCACGCCACTTTGCCCAAGCGGCTGCGATTCGGGCTCTGACGTCACAGTCGATGTCTCCGGACGCGCTAAGTACAGATCCCAAGTATTTAAACTGGCCCGTAGGCTCGACCGCGTCTTCGCCTATGCGTACGGGTAGGGGATCTGTAGCGTTGCAGACCATGTACTCAGTCTTCGCCACATTTAGTCTCAGACCGCCATTCTCAAACGACTCCTTCCACACATTCACTTGTCGTACCAGTCTCCCTCTATCGGCATCCGCCAGCGCGATATCGTCAGCGTACATAAGCATCCACGGGGGTTGCTCATGCGTGTCTCGGATGGAGCTTGAGACCTCGTTTAATATCACGCTGAACAGATAGGGACTGAGAACTGAGCCCTGGTGAACTCCGACTGTGACAGAGACCTTGGAATCGGAATCGCGGTACATGTCTCGGATGATGTCAATATAAGTTGTGAACACCTCTAATTGGCTTGCACATAAGAACTGTACCTTACATAATTGTTATTTTTAAATTTTGAATGTATTTATGTGTAAGTTGTTGGTTTTCCAAATAAATAAATAAAATAAAAAAAAATAAAAAGTTTCTAGTACCCCTTTGGATCTCAGTGCCCACCAGATCATTACACGGGGGATACAGTCGAAGGCCTTCTGCATGTCAAGAAACATGAAATGCAGAGGCGTATTCTTCCATCTGTATTTCTCCATGATGACCCTTAGGGCAAAAACAGGATCCATGGTCCCAAGACCAGGCCGAAAACCATATTGACCCTCCGAGACAGCACTCTCCTGTCGGATCCGAGAGTCTATTACACGCTCGAAGAGCTTCATGGTGTGGGACATGACCTTAATGCCCCGATAATCGCCACACTCCTGCACCGATCCCTTCCCTTTGAAGACTGGAGTGATAATACTCTGTCTCCATTGGTTAGGGATTTTACCGGTGAGGAGCACGCGATTAAAGAGGCCGGTAAGGATGCCCACACCACGGGGACCCATTGCCTTCCAGGCCTCGATGAGAACCCCATCGGCTCCGACAGCTTTTCGATTCTTCATGCGACGAAGAGCTAAGTGAACTTCCTCAGGCGTTACAGGTCGCACTAGTCCCTGATTCGGAGGGAGGACCGGTGGCTGCACCTCTCTGTGCTGCTGATTCAGCAGCTCGTGGAAATATGAGCGCCATCTCTCCTTCACCGCGTCGACCTCGCATATAAGGTTGCCATGAGGGTCTTTAATGCAGCGACACTTGGAAATATCTTGTGCCGCTAAGACCCTCGAACGTGCCAGCTTAAAGATAAGCTTTTGCCCCTCAGACGATTCCAACTTGTCGTACAACGGCTGCAATTGGTCCCGTCTTGTCCTGGCTACAGCTTTCTTAGCGGCACGTTTGGCATCCCTACATGCGTCGCGGTCTTAAGAAGATCCGGACGCTTGTCACGTTTTGAAGAGGGCTTTCTTCACCCTCACCTCTCTCTGGACTGTGTCGTTCCACCACCAAGTTTCTTTGTCACATTTGCGACCACCCTTGGACAAGCCCAGCACCGCTTTCGCCGCCTCAGATATGGCAGCCTGAATGTTGTCCCAGTGGTTCTGGACTAGATCACCTTCAGTGTCGGCGCATTTATCGCCGATCGCTGAGATGAACTCCTGAGACGTGGTACTATCAAGCCGCCACCATCTGATTTGGCGTCGGCAGCGCTTAGCGGGCTTGTCGGCCGGCTTTACACAGAGATCTATGACAAGAAAACGGTGTTGCGCTGTGAGACTCTCACCTGGTATGACCTTGCAGTTGGCCACTTTGCTGATATGGTGTCTCCTGGTGAGTAGGAAATCGATTTGGGTGGCGTGTCCGCCGCTCCTGTAGGTGATTGAATGCTTGGGGTTCTTTTTAAAGAACGTGTTCACGATGGCGAGGTCGGCCGCCGCACACGTTGTGAGGATGTCTCCTCCCTCCGCGTTGCAACTGCCGTACCCGTAGCCACCGTGAACCCGCTCGAACCCTTCGACGACAAGACGACTGCCTGCGACAAAGGAATGGCACTCAGCACTTCCCCGAGTTGATCCCAGAACCTCGCCCTGTCTGTGTCGCTGCAACCGGCTTGAGGTGCGTAGGCGCTTATCAAGTGGGTCACAACCCCTTCGATAAGCACCCTCACTACCATAAGCCGGTCGCTAAAGCGTTTCACTTCCAGGACGTGATCGTGAAACTCCTCGGAGAGCACCACGGCCACCCCGTTCTCGCCCCCAGGAGCACCGGCGTAGCTCAGCTTGTAGCCATTCCCAATGAGCCGGGATCTGCTGCCTTTCCACCGAGTCTCCTGCAGGAACGCCACGGCGACCCTCCGCCTGGAAAGCACGTCTGCTAGCTCCCTCGCGCGTCCAGTCAGCGTGCCAATGTTCCACGTGGCAAAGCGGAGCTTCCTATGATGGGTAGGGGCTCGCCTCTTTGACCGTGCCCACTCTTGACACGGTAACCCTAGTCCACTTGCCACAGAAGTCGGGCGAGGCTCCTGCGCGCCGTTTGGCGGCGACGCCCTATCCCTTTGCCATATCCTTCTGTTGACGACTTCCATAAGTTGATGTGGCGGTGTTGGTTTTTACGGGAGCGACTGGCGTCTGACCTCCCAACCCCCGAAAGGGAAAACTAGAGCCTCGTCCGTCTATCAGCAGGCGCACCACTTGCAGGCGAGGTTAGCTTGGGCTCCAAGATGTAGGTGGAGCCCCCAAAACGCCCCGTAACCTTCATTCCATTTTTATTAATATAATTATGGGTTTTCGCAAATTAACGTCTGAATCTACAAATCATTTATACACTACTTGTTTAACGTCTACTGTGGACTTATGGTGGTGGACACCATAAGTCCACAGTAGACGTTAAACAGCTCTGGGGTTGTGTCGTTAAAAGCAACATACAGACAATGCAACACTTCCAAAATAAAATACAGAGGGCTATTGTGGGTGCTCCTTGGTATATACGAAATGAGAATCTGCAACGCGATTTGGACATAGAACCCGTAGATAAAGTGATAGAAAAGTACGCCGAAGCTCACGAACATAGGCTTCATCACGTGAATATAGAGGCTATAAAACTATTAAACAATTTACAATACAAATATAGTGTGTGGACTACAAAAACTACCTAAACCTTTTTAGTGTAGTTAAGTTATAGTGAATAAAATAAATATTAGTGCCAGTATTAATCAGACTATGAACACAAACAAAGTGTCTACTAACATTAAAAGATATTTTGTCAATGGACAATTTCGGCACTTTTATTTTAGGAAATTATGTTAAATTAAAATTGCCAGTAGTCTTTGTAAGTCAATGAGTAGTCTTGTAAAAAAGCTAGATTATAATTAGTTATAAGGTTTTGCGTAGCTTTATAATAAATCAGTTTAAAAAAACTTGTTTATTTATGCTAATTACTTTGATTAAAAGACGTTGCCGAAACTCAAACATAAAGTACATGTGAAAGTAAAAGAATTAATGTTTAGTTTATTATCCAAAAACTCGCCATTGTTTTTGAAAGTTTCGTGTCATCTTCTTTTTTATAATTTAGGTTCTTTGCAGGTGGCATGTAAGGAATGGCGATTTATTTATTTTTTCAAATAAATAGTGGAAACGGATTATTATAGATTTTTTTTTATATAATGAAGTGACGAAGGGATGAAGGGAATATCCAGTGACAGGACGAACAAGTCGTGCGCCTAATGGTAAGCTACACGCCTGTCCATACGGTTGCAATGCCATTCAGAGATTTAAAGTGCAAACATCTGAGGGGCACTGCCACTGCGCCCGTCACCCTGAAACATAGGTTGAGAAGTCCCATGTGCCAGTAATTTCACCAGCAAATCAGCAGCAAAAAAATTAATACATATTGGAAATGAAACTATTTTTTTCCGGATCTAAACGTAAGTCGCGTATATTTTTTCAATAAAGCAACGTTTCAGACCCTTTACAGGTGCCATGGTCACGGCTGACCCATTAATAAGGGAGCCACCATATTTATCGACACGGAATCACATTAAGCCAGTCAAAGAAAGCTTTACGTCCATGTATTAAGAGCGAAAAAGACGTTTCGCGTTTGACTTCCGTTCGGATTGCCAATGCGAAAGGCACGTCTTTTCCGCCCTTATTACATAGATATAAAAGCTTTTTCTGATCGACTTAATGCGATGCCGTGTCGATAAGTGTGGTG